CAGGAATGCAGCTGGGCAGTGTGGAAAGCGGCTCCCTGCAAGTAAGTCTGGAGGGGATGTGGCGTGGGGGAGGGGGGAACAAATCGAGGCCCCCACGGTGAGGGAGGGAGTGGGGCTGGTGGTGCTGCCCAGCCAAGGCAGCACATGGGACCCAGGGCCGGGGCAGGGAGCAGGATGTCCTGGCACTTAAGAATGACAGCAGAGGCACTTGAACTAAAGCTCCTCAAATGACACTATTCTAAAGTACAGGGATGCTTTTAACCAGAGCGGAGCTGAGCAGGGTGAGGGCGGATGTGGGCTGCCTGCTGTCGCGTGTGCAACTGCCCCCACTGTTGTCGGGTGGGCAGAGGATGCGTGGCTGGCATGGGACTCCCAGGGCAAAGGCAGCAGAGCCCCAAGCCCACAGGGAGCAGCCCACATCCACCCCATGCACAAATCTGGGGAGCACATGGCCCCCAATGCCTCCCCTGGGGGGGGTGCATGCAATGGTGGGGAGCTGCTACTTCACACTGTCTGGACAAGCTGCCCACAGCTCCATCCCTCTCCACTCACTAGCCCCAGGTTCCATGCACTGTCCTGGCTGGGCAGCAGCCTCAACCCCTGCCCCATTCCCTTCCTCACCGTGGAAGCCTTGATCTGCCCTCCCACGTGTCCCCTGCCCCAACCCTTCTGCTCCAGAGACTTACCTGCAGGGAGCTGCTCTCCATGCTGGTGTGGTTGCACACGTGCATGCCGCATCCGAGGGCCCTGGCCAGAAGCCATAATTAATTATATTTATCGGTGAACATTATTGGCTACACTGGCCAAAAAAAGCTGATGGTCGATAATGTAAGTTTTCCTTTCATCGGTGCTGATCTGATATGCAACCGATATATTTATGCACCTCTAGTTCTAAATTCAGGACTTTGCACTTTCTTTTGGCCCAATCTTCCAATTTGTCTAGGTCACTCTGAATCCTAGCCCTACCCTCCAGCATATCTGCTTCACCCCCCAGCTTGGTGTCATCTGCAGACTTGCCAAGGGTGCACACTATGCCATCTTCCAGGCTGTTGCTGATGATATTGAACAAAACTGGCCCCAGGATCAACCCCTGGGGCTCTCATTTGATACCAGCTGCCAACTAGACAGTGAGCTGTTGATTACCACTCACTGAGCCTGACTATCCAGCCAGCTTTCTATCCACCTTGCAGTCCATTCATCCAACCCATACTTCCTCAGCTTGCTTGCAAGAATGCTGTGGGAGACGGTATCAAAAGCCTTGCTAAAGTCAAGGTATATCACATCCACTGCTTTCTCTGCATCCACAGAGCCTGTTTTCTCATCATACCCAATCAGGTGGGTCAGGCATTACTTGCTTTTGGTGAATCCATGCTGACTGTTCTTAATCTCCATCTTCTTCTCCAAGTGCTTAAAAATGGATTCCTTGAGGACCTGCTCCATGATTTTTCCAGGGGCTGAGGTGAGGCTGACCGGTCTGTAGTTCCCTGGATCTGCCTCCTTCCCTTTCTTAAAGATGGGCACTATATTTGCCCTTTTCCAACTGTCCTAAACCTCAGACCCATTTAAAGGAAACCTCA